GAAGATGAGGAGGAGGAAGAGGAGGAATCTGCTCCTGGTTCCACACTTTTCATTAAGAATCTTAATTTCAGCACGACGGAGGAGAAACTTCAGGAGGTAGGTCAATTCATAAATACAACCCTGAGTTAGTTTTCTAACACTGAATAAGGCTTTAATTACAACATGATGAATGAGATTTTTAGGTTTAGGTTTCGAGGTGTTTAATATTGTTTTCTTCATTTGTTGCAGACATTCTCCAAATGTGGGAAGGTCACGTCCTGCTCCATCTCCAAAAAGAAAGATAAAACAGGTACTGAACATTAAAAAAAGGATGTCTCACATCGATAAATGTAACATTCACTTGCAGTGTATACCTTGGAATAAAATGTAAATTTATAGATGTACCAAAGTTACATGATTTATTTGAACACATGGGTTTTTAGAAGGGAATATTTTAATTTTGTATGTGTTTGTTAGTCAAATTTCAAAAGAGTCACCTTACAATGTTGGTTTGATCTCCAGGCAAGATGTTGTCCATGGGCTACGGTTTCGTCCAGTATCAGACAGCAGAGGCAGCACAGAAAGCTCTGAGGCAACTACAGGTACCATCCCTGTTTCCTTTGTGAAACAAAAACCAGCCTTTTTCTACAGTGTGGCTCTTTGCTAATGTGTGTTCTTTGTCTCAACCCTCCACCAGCACTGTTCTGTGGACGATCACCAGTTAGAGCTGAAGATTTCTGAGAGAGCCACAAGGTAAGATGTGCGTCAGAAGGTTTAAGTGAATTGTGGGGAAGAATAAAAATGGTGGTTCATTAATTAAGTTTACAAAGAATGTGTGTCATGTATATAATGATATTGTGAAATTACAAGTTTATTAAAAGTAAAATGTTTAGTAGTAAAGCAGTTGCTAATTAAGTGTTTTAGACATCAGCACCAAGCCAAACCGTTACATTATAACATGTTAACTCCACTGAAGGAAACACTGAAATCAAAAATATTGGTAGCTGTATCATTTAAAATGTGAATTTATCACTTATTGATACAGGATTTTCATTATTTATATTAAAATGTTGACTGTGAGGGATTGTGGGGCAGAATTTAGCCTCCCTTGTGTTGTCCCTACTCATTCAGCCATTTTCCCTTTGCGTAGGACTACTGAGGTGTCACGCAAGAAGAAGCAACTTGAGAAGAAACAGACTGGATCCAAGATCCTTGTGCGCAACGTCCCCTTCCAAGCCACTGTCAGGGAAATTCGGGAACTCTTCTGGTAGCCATCACACACACACACACAC